AGTTTAAAACATTAAGTATAATTATACTGTCGATAACGTAACTTCCCCAATTGATCTCTTTCACTCTTATCATCTGAAGCTACAAGTTATTCTTTTTCGCCCAAAAGGTGGTATTTGTCCAATTCCAATGGATGTCACGTTCATTATTGACTCGTCTGGAAGTTTGGGCCGCAGAAACTGGCTCCTTGTGCTCAGTTTTGTTCAATCAATAGTTCGACTCTTTGGCGTGTCACCATCCGGAACCCATGTCGCCCTTATTCCATTCAGTACTGACGCGAAGGTGGTTCTTAAATTCAATACATTATCTGGATCCCTTCTCAACGTCGCAGAGGTGAACAGACAAGTTGCTGGCCTCCGTTGGCAGAGAGGTTTCACTCGGATTGATAAAGCAATGGAATTGGCGGACAAGGAAGTGTTAACTTACGCTGCCGGCATGCGGAATGTACCAAGGGTAAAATTACCTCAATAGCAATCCTTTTCAAAATACATACCGTCTTTACTAAAAGAAGCGCAAACGCTCTAACAAGCTCCTCCCCCGCTAAAATATCAAACAAGTGCCTCCCCCCCTCCACTCCTTCGAATAAGCGTCCCAGAGTTAAGGCCACTTTATTTATAACTTTTTTTAAGTTTTAACCACAGTGGAATCAGTACAGGAGAATAGTTTCTTTTCCGTTAAATCATTTCCAGTTATGTCTATCTTCGCATACTTGCTCTTCTTTAAATTTTTCGTCCTATTGCCGCGTTCTTAGTAAATGCCAAAAACTTACCAGGAAAAACTAGACTGTTCTTTTTGTCTCGGAAGATCATAAATTTCTACCTAAAGAAAATTATTGGAATGCGTTTAAATGAAAACAATTGATAATGAATGAGTCGAAATTTTAAATGAGCACCTGGACGCTTATTCGAGGAATACGTACCTTTATACAATAATGAGTAAAACTTGGGAGGAACATTCCGTGGTGCATTTGAACCTTCCGGGTTTGGATAGTCCGGCTACCGTTTGTCCAACTGTTGGTGACAATGACTAAAATTCGGACTGATAGTCAAGTGTGTGGGGCATATTTCGTTAGACTACAAAGTACAGTTTCAACTGGATTCAACTGGACATTGTACGATTCGTTCTTTTTCCTCTTTTCATTTTCTCTCTCTCTTTCCTCTCTTTTCTCTCTCTTCACTCCTTTCTCCAATCTTTCTCCCATTCATTTCTTCCCTTAAATCTATAGCCTGTTTTGGTAATCACGGATGGAAAGCAGACGACTGACAGAGGACCGTACACTCCACTTCAACTTGTCTCGTCACGCCTTCGGAACAAGGGAGCAGCTGTGTTCGCTTTGGGTATTGGTCTTAGCGTTGACAGTTCAGAACTTGAACAAATCGCTTCTAGTCCTGAAAACGTCATCACAATCGATTCTTTCGAGGATTTGACAGACAAAATTAAGGATTTCAGGGATGGCTTCTGTAAAGGTAGACTTCACACTTGTCTTGTCTTTGTTTCCTGATCTACTGTTGACGCTGAAAAATTATACATGTACAGCCTTTCATCTCTTTAACAAGAGTGAACTGTTTTAATTTCACATACATGCAGCAGTACCAAAAGTCGTTCCCCACAGTTAAACGCCATGAAGTAGCCTCGGTATCACGATGTGGTATCTAACTATCTAAAATCGTCATTTTCATGATGACTACAATAAGTATGATAGACATCCTCTTTGTCGCCTCTTAAAGATACAAAGCCTAAGTGCAACACGCTGATATTTTTACTTAATTTGCGACCAAAGGAAGAAACAGTCAAGAAGTTACAAGAAGACTATATATCCTATCTGTCAAAAAGTTTTTTTTTTAAAATGATGCCGACAAGTCGGCAAGTTTTTTTTTTTTTTTTGAAGGTACTCATCAAATATTGCTTCCTCCTTCAGCACCACCCCCGGCTACAACAACTGCACCACCTATCACCACGCCGCCAGGTATCAGCACATTGAAGCCTTAATCCTTTCATTCCCTAGACTCATATCATTATCAATTCTCCCCTCTGTCCACGTTTTGTATTTTAGCTATGCAAGTTAGTTTACTACTCATAGTCATTCATTAATCAGCAGTTTATACAAATGCCTTCCATATATTCACAGTCATTCAAACGATAGGACTTCGATACTTTTTTTTTGCTCTTACTTTTTTCGCCTTTGACTAAATAGTTGACAATTTTGTAGGAAGAAATTAATTTCCTCTCATTCCTGGACGTGAAAAAATTAAAACCATTAAATTTCCGGCACGAACCTTGTAAAACTTTTTCTAAACAGATCCATGCACGACTGTTGGCTGTAAGGCGCCTTACAAGATCGGTTGTAAAAATGTGAACAACACGGCTGAGTGCATCTGCCCCAGCTGTCCTGATACTCTCAGCCCTGTGTGTACATCAGATGATGTTCAGGACCGTTCTGAATGCTTCATGAAACGACAGTCGTGTCAAAGTGGTGATATGGTGACACTTGCAAAGAACGGACCATGTGGTATGTCAATTAAACCAGCTGAGACTGGAAGTCTTTAGAAACATTGAGTTACGCGGCAGACTTCTCGTCAATTACCAAGTGAGATTCATTGGCTTTTTCCGATCATGATCGAATTCAATTGAGGTACCTTTTTTTTTTTTTTGTTTGTTTGTTTTTTTTTTCAGACAAGGAATGCAGACCAATCGTAGATGTTGGATTTCTCATTGACTCATCTGGAAGCATTGGACGTAGAAACTGGGCAAGAATGAAGAGATTCCTCAAAGCGATAGTCAGCAAACTTGACGTCAGTCCTTCCTATACACACATATCAGCTGTTGCCTACAGCAACAATCCTGTGGTGGTGTATCAGTTTAACAATCGCCAAGCAACAGATAGCATCAACAACGCGTTTGACGGTATGCGTTGGCAGCGCGGCTTTACTTACACGGACAAAGCTCTTTTGCTTGCGGACAGTGATTTGTACAAACCTTCCAACGGCATGAGACCAAACGTTGCTAAGGTAAGAGCTTTCCTCCAACAGAGACTGTTAGTGGCAGTGTTCCTTGACTATAGGTTTCTTTTTTGGCAATGGTCACTTGCTAATATTTCTTATGTTGATCTATAGACGTGGGATAGTAACAGACTATAGTCTACACCACCTCCTTTTATTTAGATCTCCTTGATTCTTTGTCCGTCAGGTTTTGATCGTCATCACTGATGGAGCACAGACAACAACCAAAGCATACACTCCGCTGCCAATAGCATCTGCAGGTTTAAAGAGCAAAGGAGTAGCAGTCTATGCTATTGGAGTTGGCAAGGGAGTAAAGGAGGCAGAGCTTAGAGAAATTGCATCCAGCCAAGAAAATGTCTTTGTATCAGCCTCTTTTAAGGAACTTCATAACCTTGCAGTAGAAATACGGAAGAGACTCTGCGACTGTAAGGATTGCTATTTTTTACTGAGTATATTTGGACAATCGCTGATAAAAAGACTTTAAGCCTCTTTGCAAGTAATCAACGAACACAATTGTAGCCTTGTGACTTGTTTTTCTAGCCCTGTTATTTCTTTTCTTTCTCCTTTAGTACCACCTCCATTAACAACACCGACACCACTGCCAACACCTGCACGTAAGTAAACTCAAACGGCAAACATGTCATTTTACAATGAAACCTTGTAGGTCTTGTGTCCTTCTATTTTTTCATGCTACTCTTGATGTTTTTCTCTTCGACTCCGTCAGCGTGCAAGGCCACGGCGGATGTAGCATTTATCGTGGACTCATCGGGAAGTATTGGTCGTGGAAGATGGCCGCTGATGTTGAATTTCTTGAAGAACATCATTAGTGCCTTCAATGTTGGTCCAGATGGTACCCATGTAGCAGTAATCGCCTACAGTAACGATGCCAAGCTTGAAATAGCCTTCGACTCCGTGTCCGGGGCGCAGATTACTGCCGAAGAATATGGAAAGCGGATCGATAAGATCGCATTTCAGAGAGGCTTTACATACATCGACAAAGGCCTGAAAATGGCAGATGAACAAGTGTTTGTGACAAGCGCAGGAATGAGGCCCAACGTACCAAAGGTATTTAGGCACTGCTTCTTCCATAAAAGACATACAACAAAATTGCATACCGCTCTAGACCTCTCTATTACTCACATTGGATGGTACTGCACCGTCCAGTCCCTTTGGTATTGCTTTTACTTACCTTCTTCTACAAAAAGTAAAAAAAGGGTTTATTTTGTGAATCCTGTTTCTTTGACTCTCTAATGGTTTAATTTCATTTTGGCTGTAGATTCATTTCTCCTCTAACTTGTGTTTTTGTGTAAACTTTTGTTCTCGATTAGGTTGCCATCGTCATAACTGATGGACAGCAGACAACTTCTAAAGCGTATACACCTTTAGATCAAGCATCCAAAGGAATCAAGGACAAGGGAGTGGAAGTGTTCGCCTTAGGCATTGGATCAGGCGTTGACACTAGCCAGCTGCGTCAGATTGCAAGCTCCAACGACAACGTGTTTACTGTTCCTGGATTTGACGAGCTGGAGTCAGTTGTCAAGCCAATTGTGGAAAAGACATGTCCAAGTAAGCGTTCTAATACATCCAAAAGTAGTCTGGAGAGGAATAGGTGCTGGAAAAGCGTACACGAAGGAGATGAACTGGGCTTCCGCACGCGTTAATGACAGTAATACAAATTATAAACCACTTTTATAGTCAATTTTCTTTGAATAAGACTTCTACTCTGGCCCTTTATACACTACCTTCTGTGGGCTTCAACAACTTCATTCTCCTTCGCTTGTTATGCATGGTCTTGACCGCTTTATTTACTTGAATGAAAGTCATGTCACCATGTCTCGGAATACTATCACTAACGTCGGTTTAAAAACCAAATCTTTTCCTATTTTGAATTCTTCTTCTTACTTGTTAACATTAAAGTCTGATTGTTGTTTGCTCTCTATACCTTCAAACAACGTGTTTTGTGCTGTTGTACTTTTTCAGCTAAACCTCCTGATCCATGCAAGACCATCGATTGTTCTGCTCCATACAGTCTTGGCTGTAGGGTTGTAAATGATACAGCAGAGTGCATCTGTCCCGACTGTCCTGACACAGTAAGCCCTGTTTGTACATCAGATGACGTCCAGGACCGCTCGGAGTGCCTGATGAAAAGACAATCTTGCATAACTGGAGACCTGGTGACTGTTGCTAAGAGTGGACCTTGCGGTAAGTGGAATTGATACGTAACAAGAACCTCGGCACGGACAATCAAACGCTAAAGCAAGTTGTCTTCTCCACTTTGAAGAGCTTGTCCTGATACCTTGGTTTTCTGTTTGCCTTCTAAACCGAATTTGGGTGTTTTTTAAGTGATAAATACACGTGTGCAGAGCCAGAGGCTCTTAACTTTCAAAGCATCTCTACTTTGTAATAAGTGTAGTTTTCAAATGTTTACAGATAAGGAATGCAGACCAATGGCAGATATTGGATTTGTCATTGACTCGTCTGGAAGCATTGGACGGAGCAACTGGGGAAGGATGAAGCGATTCCTCAAAGCGTTGGTCAGCAAACTTGACGTCAGTCCTTCCTATACACACATATCAGCTGTTGCCTATAGCAACAATCCCGAGGTGGTGTATCGGTTTAACAACCGCCAAGCAACAGATGACGTCAACAACGCGTTTGACGGTATGCGTTGGCAGCGCGGCTTTACTTACACGGACAAAGCTCTTTTGCTTGCGGACAGTGATTTGTACAGGCCTTCCAACGGCATGAGACCAAACGTTGCAAAGGTAAGAGCTTTCCTCCAACAGAAACTGTTAGTAGGCAATGTTCCTTGACTATAGGTTTCTTGTTTGCAATGGTCACTTGCTACTATTTCTTATGTTGATATATGGACGTGGGATAGTAACAGACTATTGGTTACACCATCTCCTTTTATTAAGATCTCCTTGTTTCTTTGTCCGTCAGGTTTTGATCGTCATCACTGATGGAGCACAGACAACAGCCAAAGCATACACTCCGCTGCCAATAGCATCTGCAGGTGTAAAGAGCAAAGGAGTAGCAGTCTATGCTATTGGAGTTGGCAAGGGAGTAAAGGAGGCAGAGCTTAGAGAAATTGCATCCAGCCAAGAAAATGTCTTTGTATCAGCCTCTTTCAAGGAACTCCATAACCTTGCAGTAGAAATACGGAAGAGACTCTGCGACTGTAAGGATTGCTATTTTTTACTGAGTATATTTGGACAATCGCTGATAAAAAGACTTAAGTCTCTTTGCAACTAATCAACGAAATACTATTGTAGCTTTGTGACTTGCTTTTCTAGCCCTGTTATTTCTTCTATTTCTCTTTTAGTACCACCTCCATTAACAACACCGACACCACTGCCAACACCTGCACGTAAGTAAACTCAAAAGGCAAACATGTCATTTAACAATCAAACTGTGTAGGTCTTGTGTCTTACTATTTTTTCATGTTAATCTTGATATTTTTCTCTTCGACTCCGTCAGCGTGCAAGGCCACGGCGGATGTAGCTTTTATCGTGGACTCATCGGGAAGTATTGGTCGTGGAAGATGGCCGCTGATGTTGAATTTCTTGAAGAACATCATTAGTGCCTTCAATGTTGGTCCAGATGGTACCCATGTAGCAGTAATCGCCTACAGTAACGATGCCAAGCTTGAAATAGCCTTCGACTCCGTGTCCGGGGCGCAGATTACTGCCGAAGAATATGGGAAGCGGATCGATAAGATCGCATTTCAGAGAGGCTTTACATACATCGACAAAGGCCTGAAAATGGCAGATGAACAAGTGTTTGTAACAAGCGCAGGAATGAGGCCCAACGTACCACAGGTATTTAGGCACTGCTTCTTCCATAAAAGACTTACAACAAAATTGCATACCCCTCTAGACCTCTCTATTACTCACATTCGATGGTACTGCACCGTCCAGTCCCTTTGGTATCGCTTTTACTTTCCTTATTCTACAAAAAGTAAAAAAAGGGGTTTATTCTGTGAATCCTGTTTATTTTACTCTCTAATGGTTTAATTTCATTTTGGCCGTAGATTCATTTCTCCTCCAACTTGTGTTTTTTTATAAATTTTTGTCCTGGATTAGGTTGCCATCGTCATAACTGATGGACAGCAGACAACTACCAAGGCGTATACACCTTTGGATCAAGCTTCCAAAGGAATCAAGGACAAGGGAGTTGAGGTGTTCGCCTTAGGCATCGGATCAGGCGTTGACACTAGCCAGCTGCGTCAGATTGCAAGCTCCAACGACAACGTGTTTACTGCTCCTGGATTTGACGAGCTGGAGTCAGTTGTCAAGCCAATTGTGGAAAAGACATGTCCAAGTAAGCGTTCTAATACATCCAAAAGTAGTCTGGAGAGGAATAGGTGCTGGAAAAGCGTATACGAAGAAGATGAACTGGGCTTCCGCACGCGTTAATGACAGTGATACAAATTATAAACCACTTTTATAATCAGTTGTCTTTGAATAAGACTTCTACTCTGGCCCTTTTTACAAACCCTTCTGTGGGCTTCAACAACTTCATTCTCCCTCGTATGTTATGCGTGGTCTTAACCGCTTTATTTACTAGAATGAAAGTCATGTCACCATGTCTCAGAATACTATCGCGAACGTCGGTTTAAAAACCAAATCTTTTCCTATTTTGAATTCTTCTTCTTACTTGAGAACATTAAAGTCTGATTGTTGTTTGCTCTCTATACCTTCAAACAACGTGTTTTGTGCTGTTGTACTTTTTCAGCTAAACCTCCTGATCCATGCAAGACCATCAATTGTTCTGCTCCATACAGTCTTGGCTGTAGGGTTGTAAACGATACAGCGGAGTGCATCTGTCCCGACTGTCCTGACACAGTAAGCCCTGTTTGTACATCAGATGACGTCCAGGATCGCTCGGAGTGCCTGATGAAAAGACAATCTTGCATAACTGGAGGCCTGGTGACTGTTGCTAAGAGTGGACCTTGCGGTAAGTGGAATTGATACGTAACAAGAACCTCGGCACGGACAATCAAACACTAAAGCAAGTTGTCTTCTCCACTTTTAAGAGCTTGTCCTGATACCTTGGTTTTCTGTTTGCCTTCTAAACCGAATTTGGGTGTTTTTTAAGTGATAAATACAAGTGTGCAGAGCCAGAGGTTCTTAACTTTCAAAGCATCTCTACTTTGTAATAAGTGTAGCTTTCAAATGATTACAGATAAGGAATGCAGACCAATCGCAGATATTGGATTTGTCATTGACTCGTCTGGAAGCATTGGACGGAGCAACTGGGGAAGGATGAAGCGATTTCTGAAAGCGTTGGTCAGCAAACTTGACGTCAGTCCTTCCTTTACACACATATCAGCTGTTGCCTATAGCAACAATCCCGAGGTGGTGTATCGGTTTAACAACCGCCAAACAACAGATGACGTCAACAACGCGTTTGACGGTATGCGTTGGCAGCGCGGCTTTACTTACACGGACAAAGCTCTTTTGCTTGCGGACAGTGATTTGTACAGGCCTTCCAGCGGCATGAGACCAAACGTTGCTAAGGTAAGAGCTTTCCTCCAACAGAGACTATTAGTAGGTAGTGTTCCTTGACTATAGGTTTCTTTTTTGCAATGGTCACTTGCTAATATTTCTTAAGTTGATCTATGGACGTGGGATAGTGACATACTGTTGGTTACACCATCTCCTTTTATTAAGATCACCTTGATTCTTTGTCCGTCAGGTATTGATCGTCATCACTGATGGAGCACAGACAACAACCAAAGCATACACTCCGCTACCAATAGCATCTGCAGGTGTAAAGAGCAAAGGAGTAGCAGTCTATGCTATTGGAGTTGGCAAGGGAGTAAACGAGGGAGAGCTTAGAGAAATTGCATCCAGCCAAGAAAATGTCTTTGTATCAGCCTCTTTCAAGGAACTCCATAACCTTGCAGTAGAAATACGGAAGAGACTCTGCGACTGTAAGTATTGCTATTTTTTACTGAGTATATTTGGACAATCGGTGATAAAAAGACTTTAAGCCTCTTTGCAAGTAATCGACGAAATATAATTGTAGCTTTGTGACTTGTTTTTCTAGCCCTGTTATTTCTTTTATTTCTCTTTTAGTACCACCTCCATTAACAACACCGACACCACTGCCAACACCTGCACGTAAGTAAATTCAAACGGCAAACATGTCATTAAACAATGATACCTTGTAGGTCTTGTGTCTTTCTATTTTTTCATGCTCCTCTTGATGTTTTTCTCTTCGACTCCGTCAGCGTGCAAGGCCACGGCAGATGTAGCATTTATCGTGGACTCATCGGGAAGTATTGGTCGTCGAAGATGGCCGCTGATGTTGAATTTCTTGAAGAACATCATTAGTGCCTTCAATGTTGGTCCAGATGGTACCCATGTAGCAGTAATCGCCTACAGTAACGATGCCAAGCTTGAAATAGCCTTCGACTCCGTGTCCGGGGCGCAGATTACTGCCGAAGAATATGGGAAGCGGATCGATAAGATCGCATTTCAGAGAGGCTTTACATACATCGACAAAGGCCTGAAAATGGCAGATGAACAAGTGTTTGTAACAAGCGCAGGAATGAGGCCCAACGTACCACAGGTATTTAGGCACTGCTTCTTCCATAAAAGACTTACAACAAAATTGCATACCCCTCTAGACCTCTCTATTACTCACATTCGATGGTACTGCACCGTCCAGTCCCTTTGGTATCGCTTTTACTTTCCTTATTCTACAAAAAGTAAAAAAAGGGTTTATTTTGTGAATCCTGTTTGTTTTACTCTCTAATGGCTTAATTTCATTTTGGCCGTAGATTCATTTCTCCTCCAACTTGTGTTTTTGTCTAAACTTTTGTCCTGGATTAGGTTGCCATCGTCATAACTGATGGACAGCAGACAACTTCTAAAGCGTATACACCTTTGGATCAAGCATCCAAAGGAATCAAAGACAAGGGAGTTGAGGTGTTTGCCTTAGGCATCGGATCAGGCGTTGACACTAGCCAACTGCGTCAGATTGCAAGCTCCAACGACAATGTGTTTACTGCTCCTGGATTTGACGAGCTGGAGTCAGTTGTCAAGCCAATTGTGGAAAAGACATGTCCAAGTAAGCGTTCTAATACATCCAAAAGTAGTCTGGAGAGGAATAGGTGCTGGAAAAGCGTATACGAATGAGATGAACTGGGCTTCCGCACGCGTTAATGACAGTGATATAAATTATGAACCACTTTTATAATCAGTTTTCTTTGAATAAGACTTCTACTCTGGCCCTTTATACACTACCTACTGTGGGCTTCAACAACTTCATTCTCCTTCGCTTGTTATGCGTGGTCTTAACCGCTTTATTTACTTGAATGAAAGTCATGTCACCATGTCTCAGAATACTACTGCGAACGTCGGTTTAAAAACCAAATCTTTTCCTATTTTGAATTCTTCTTCTTATTCGTGAACATTAAAGTCTGATTGTTGTTTGCTCTCTATACCTTCAAACAACGTGTTTTGTGCTGTTATACTTTTTCAGCTAAACCTCCTGATCCATGCAAGACCATCGATTGTTCTGCTCCATACAGTCTTGGCTGTAGGGTTGTAAACGATACAGCGGAGTGCATCTGTCCCGACTGTCCTGACACAGTAAGCCCTGTTTGTACATCAGATGACGTACAGGACCGCTCGGAGTGCCTGATGAAAAGACAATCTTGCATAACTGGAGACCTGGTGACTGTTGCTAAGAGTGGACCTTGCGGTAAGTGGAATTGATACGTAACAAGAACCTCGGCACGGACAATCAAACGCTAAAGCAAGTTGTCTTCTCCACTTTGAAGAGCTTGTCCTGATACCTTGGTTTTCTGTTTGCCTTCTAAACCGAATTTGGGTGTTTTTTAAGTGATAAATACACGTGTGCAGAGCCAGAGGCTCTTAACTTTCAAAGCATCTCTACTTTGTAATAAGTGTAGCTTTCAAATGATTACAGATAAGGAATGCAGACCAATCGCAGATATTGGATTTGTCATTGACTCGTCTGGAAGCATTGGACGGAGCAACTGGGGAAGGATGAAGCGATTTCTGAAAGCGTTGGTCAGCAAACTTGACGTCAGTCCTTCCTATACACACATATCAGCTGTTGCCTATAGCAACAATCCCGAGGTGGTGTATCGGTTTAACAACCGCCAAGCAACAGATGACGTCCACAATGCGTTTGACGGTATGCGTTGGCAGCGCGGCTTTACTTACACGGACAAAGCTCTTTTGCTTGCGGACAGTGATTTGTACAGGCCTTCCAGCGGCATGAGACCAAACGTTGCTAAGGTAAGAGCTTTCCTCCAGCAGAGACTATTAGTAGGCAGTGTTCCTTGACTATAGGTTTCTTTTTTGCAATGGTCACTTGCCAATATTTCTTATGTTGATCTATGGACGTGGGATAGTGACATACTATTGGTTACACCATCTCCTTTTATTAAGATCTCCTTGATTCTTTGTCCGTCAGGTATTGATCGTTATCACTGATGGAGCACAGACAACAACCAAAGCATACACTCCGCTACCAATAGCATCTGCAGGTTTAAAGAGCAAAGGAGTAGCAGTCTATGCTATTGGAGTTGGCAAGGGAGTAAACGAGGCAGAGCTTAGGGAAATTGCATCCAGCCAAGAAAATGTCTTTGTATCAGCCTCTTTCAAGGAACTCCATAACCTTGCAGTAGAAATACGGAAGAGACTCTGCGACTGTAAGTATTGCTATTTTTTACTGAGTATATTTGGACAATCGGTGATAAAAAGACTTTAAGCCTCTTTGCAAGTAATCGACGAAATATAATTGTAGCTTTGTGACTTGTTTTTCTAGCCCTGTTATTTCTTTTATTTCTCTTTTAGTACCACCTCCATTAACAACACCGACACCACTGCCAACACCTGCACGTAAGTAAATTCAAACGGCAAACATGTCATTTAACAATGAAACCTTGTAGGTCTTGTGTCTTTCTATTTTTTCATGCTACTCTTGATGTTTTTCTCTTCGACTCCGTCAGCGTGCAAGGCCACGGCAGATGTAGCATTTATCGTGGACTCATCGGGAAGTATTGGTCGTCGAAGATGGCCACTGATGTTGAACTTCTTGAAGAACATCATTAGTTCCTTCAATGTTGGTCCAGATGGTACCCATGTAGCAGTAATCGCCTACAGTAACGATGCCAAGCTTGAAATAGCCTTCGACTCCGTGTCCGGGGCGCAGATTACAGCCGAAGAATATGGAGAGCGGATCGATAAGATCGCATTTCAGAGAGGCTTTACATACATCGACAAAGGCCTGAAAATGGCAGATGAACAAGTGTTTGTAACAAGCGCAGGAATGAGGCCCAACGTACCACAGGTATTTAGGCACTGCTTCTTCCATAAAAGACATACAACAAAATTGCATACCACTCTAGACCTCTCTATTACTCACATTCGATGGTACTGCACCGTCCAGTCCCTTTGGCATCGCTTTTACTTACCTTATTCTACAAAAAGTAAAAAAGGGTTTATTTTGTGAATCCTGTTTTTTTACTCTCTAATGGCTTAATTTCATTTTGGCCGTAGATTCATTTCTCCTCCAACTTGTGTTTTTGTCTAACCTTTTTTCCTGGATTAGGTTGCCATCGTCATAACTGATGGACAGCAGACAACTTCTAAAGCGTATACACCTTTGGATCAAGCATCCAAAGGAATCAAAGACAAGGGAGTTGAGGTGTTCGCCTTAGGCATCGGATCAGGCGTTGACACTAGCCAACTGCGTCAGATTGCAAGCTCCAACGACAACGTGTTTACTGCTCCTGGATTTGACGAGCTGGAGTCAGTTGTCAAGCCAATTGTGGAAAAGACATGTCCAAGTAAGCGTTCTAATACATCCAAAAGTAGTCTGGAGAGGAATAGGTGCTGGAAAAGCGTATACAAAGGAGATGAACTGGGCTTCCGCACGCGTTAATGTCAGTGATACAAATTATAAACCACTTTTATAATCAGTTGTCTTTGAATAAGACTTCTACTCTGGCCCTTTATACACTACCTTCTGTGGGCTTCAACAACTTCATTCTCCCTCGCATGTTATGCGTGGTCTTAACCGCTTTATTTACTTGAATGAAAGTCATGTCACCATGTCTCAGAATACTATCGCGAACGTCGGTTTAAAAACCAAATCTTTTCCTATTTTGAATTCTTCTTCTTATTCGTGAACATTAAAGTCTGATTGTTGTTTGCTCTCTATACCTTCAAACAACGTGTTTTGTGCTGTTGTTTTTTTTCAGCTAAACCTCCTGATCCATGCAAGACCATCAATTGTTCTGCTCCATACAGTCTTGGCTGTAGGGTTGTAAACGATACAGCGGAGTGCATCTGTCCCGACTGTCCTGACACAGTAAGCCCTGTTTGTACATCAGATGACGTCCAGGATCGCTCGGAGTGCCTGATGAAAAGACAATCTTGCATAACTGGAGACCTGGTGACTGTTGCTAAGAGTGGACCTTGCGGTAAGTGGAATTGATACGTAACAAGAACCTCGGCACGGACAATCAAACGCTAAAGCAAGTTGTCTTCTCCACTTTGAAGAGCTTGTCCTGATACCTTGGTTTTCGGTTTGCTTTCTAAACCAAATTTGGGCGTTTTTTAAGTGATAAATACAAGTGTGCAGAGCCAGAGGCTCTTAACTTTCAAAGCATCTCTACTTTGTAATAAGTGTAGTTTTCAAATGTTTACAGATAAGGAATGTAGACCAATCGCAGATATTGGATTTGTCATTGACTCGTCTGGAAGCATTGGACGGAGCAACTGGGGAAGGATGAAGCGATTCCTCAAAGCGTTGGTCAGCAAACTTGACGTCAGTCCTTCCTTTACACACATATCAGCTGTTGCCTATAGCAACAATCCCGATGTGGTGTATCGGTTTAACAACCGCCAAGCAACAGATGACGTCAACAACGCGTTTGACGGTATGCGTTGGCAGCGCGGCTTTACTTACACGGACAAAGCTCTTTTGCTTGCGGACAGTGATTTGTACAGGCCTTCCAACGGCATGAGACCAAACGTTGCAAAGGTAAGATCTTTCCTCCAACAGAAACTGTTAGTAGGCAATGTTCCTTGACTATAGGTTTCTTTTTTGCAATGGTCACTTGCTAATATTTCTTATGTAGATCTATGGGCGTGGGATAGTAACAGACTATAGTCTACACCACCTCCTTTTATTTAGATCTCCTTGATTCTTTGTCCGTCAGGTTTTGATCGTCATCACTGATGGAGCACAGACAACAACCAAAGCATACACTCCGCTGCCAATAGCATCTGTAGGTGTAAAGAGCAAAGGAGTAGCAGTCTATGCTATAGGAGTTGGCAAGGGAGTAAACGAGGCAGAGCTTAGAGAAATTGCATCCAGCCAAGAAAATGTCTTTGTATCAGCCTCTTTCAAGGAACTCCATAACCTTGCAGTAGAAATACGGAAGAGACTCTGCGACTGTAAGTCTTGCCAGTCTTAAATGTGTGTATTTAGACTATTGTTAGTAAAGGGTGCCTTAACTGCTTAGCACAACCGCGGTGACACACAACCGATTTTGCTTTGAAGCTGTCGTTCCAGTTCCAATGCTAAGAATGTTCGAATTTAACCAACTCTTTTTTCTTATGCTTTAGTACCACCAACAACAACAACACCAACACCACTGCCAACCCCTGCACGTAAGTAAAAATCAAAATGTGAACAATTTCTTTAGCAGGGATGCCCTTCAAATTTTTTCTTCTGAATATTTTGTCACGCTATTCCTGTTTATTTTATTTCGACTCAGCGTGCAAGGCCACGGCAGATGTAGCATTTATCGTGGACTCATCGGGAAGTATTGGTCGTCGAAGATGGCCGCTGATGTTGGAGTTCTTGAAGAACATTATTAGTGCCTTCAATGTTGGTCCAGATGGTACCCATGTAGCAGTAATCGCCTACAGTAACGATGCCAAGCTTGAAATTGCTTTCGACACATTGTCTGGGGCACAGATTACTGCCGAAGAATATGGAAAGCGGATCGATAAGATCGCATTTCAGAGAGGCTTTACATACATCGACAAAGGCTTGAAAATGGCAGATGAACAAGTGTTTGTGACAAGCGCGGGAATGAGGCCTGGTGTTCCCAAAGTAAGTTAGAAAAGCAGAAATAAGTTGTTGTACAATTTCTATTGCCTCCATTACTGGTTCTTGAAACTGGAAATGGAAATTACTATCGCTTTCGAAAGGAGGCGAATCGATGTTCGTTAGAGGGCTACCTACTTACTGTGTGTTATCAGAGATTTTGTAAGATCTGTGTCAGCAGTACACTTAATCGGGGGTTAGGTTCTAGTTTCTTTGGTATTTAACTATTGAAATACCTTATTCGCGCGAAAATTTTAGTTATGTTGTGAAGTTGGTGTTGTTAATTTTTTTTCTCGTATTTATTAAAACTGTTGTTCTTTTCGCGGTTTGTCTTTCCTTTTGTTGTTGATTGCCAGCATTACTCTTGTTAACGTTTGATAGCTTTAGTTGTAGTCATAGTTTCTGGTCCAGATCTGTTTAAGAGTTGAATAAATTACATTTCGAAATGGCTATTAGGCAAATTTACCTGTGCGTTCTCTACAGACGATCTGTGTTGTTGAGCCGTTTTACTCTATTTGAAGATCAAAAATTTCTTTACAAGGAAAATTTGTACGTTGCTTACTTTGTTTTTTCCACAGATTGCTATTGTAATTACGGATGGCCAACAGACGACAACTAATCAGTTTACCCCGTTGGACATTGCATCTCAAGGGATTAAAGACAAAGGAGTAAAAGTTTTTGCGCTAGGAATTGGCTCTGGCGTCAAAGTTGAAGAGCTACAAAAGATTGCAAGCTCTAGCGACGACGTGTTTACTGCTCCTGGATTCGACGAACTTGTGTCTGTTGTAAAGCCAATTGTGGAAAAGGCTTGTCCAAGTAAGACACCTTTACCTTAGGGAAGTCAAAGTTCGGATTTCGGGTTTGATAAAACCTTAAATAATTCACCATTGAAAGCTAATTTGTTGGATACTGTTAATTTATGTTGTAGGAGGCGATAAGTATCCTTATGTCTCCTTGGCCGTGCGTTGCTTACGTATGCAAACAACTATTTAAAAAGAAATGAACTCGGAATCATTTCGTGAATTTGAATCTGTGTTTAACGAAAATGAATCGAAAATTATTCTATTACTTGACATTCGTAGCTATTTATTTTCGTATTCTGCATCTTTATATGTTATTTCAACAAGTATGACTAAAATCAGGTATTTGTTCATCCCTCTCGAACTTCAAGCTCTGCGTGGTGTACTGTAAAGCGTGTTCTTTCCTTTAACCCTTTAACCCCCAAGATCTGACTGTTAACTCTCCGCGCTAGCTTTTGCACATTTCCTTTTAAATTAATAATGAGAACTTGGTGTTAGATCAAGATAACAATTACCTGATAAGTTTGAATATTCTCATTACCTGTTTGCTGGATAATGTAAGGATATTATAGGGAGAAGTTCCATGTTGATCACCTGTGGAAGTTAAAGGGTTAAAATCGAATTGCTCAAGAGGTTTCGATTTCAAGGAAGCTTGCGTTTGTGTTGTCATTGCAATTTAAAGTAATTGATGGCTCCACTTATTAACTTAACATTTGTAAAACACTCATTGTGTGTATCAATTAAATATGCTGATAAATTCAAATCGCTATGGCTATTATACTTTGCTTTATTTGCAATCATTCTTCCCTCCACTTCTGCTACGCCCTGATTAGTTAATGGTTCTATAGTGCAAGTGGGAACTTTGCTGGTGAACTCTTTCAGCACAAGAGACAAATGATGTTTCGCTAAAAACGTTTCTAAAAAAACTGTGGTGCTGAGTCGGTAAGGGGTATAACAAGATGATTTGGTTTTATCAACTGGGCCACCGGGAAGAGTTTCTAACGCGACGTCTCGAGCGTTAGCCCTTCGTCAGAGCGAATGACGAAGGGCAAGCGCACGAAATGTCAGCTTAGAAACTCTTTGAGGTGGTCAGTCCGCATTATCAACTCAGTTGATAAAACCAAATTGTCTCGGTATTTTACTAAGTTATTTTTTGAAACGCCCTAATGACCGTCAGCAACACGTTTTTCTTGCACCATTTGGACGCTAGCTGCAAAGGAGCTTTCTTTGCATTACTTCATCAATACTGCCCCGTCGAAGCCTGAATTAGTTTTCGCGGCTTCCTTTCTGAACGCAGTCTTTGAGCTTATCAATTCCTCATACGCACTAGGACTTTATATCTAAGAGAATAAAAGGAAAACAAGAAGCGTGCGATAGGAATGCAAATAACTCCCGGGGTCCATGTTATTAGCGAGATGATCGAAATGATGACAATTAAAAGTCCCCTTGAGGTAGAAAAAATTTTCTTTGTGTTCTCACTCGGTTCCCTCTTTAATTTGAACGAAAATACACCCTGTTTTTGTTTGTTTAGCGACAATTTCTCACAGAAACCGTTTGTCATAACCAGCTGGATCGAGGGAGAAAATGGGTTAAAATACTAAGGAGCTTAATTTCAAAATATTTGAATTCACTTTATTTAGTACGCGGCAAGTAATTTCCGCGCTGTTGGAAGTTAGTTACCGTTTATCTTTCGAGGGATGTATCCCTATAGACTTCGAGTCCAAAATGTTAATCAATATTTGCGCAATTTAAATATTTTCCGAATCAAAACAACCTGAAAGCTTATCCCAGTTTTAAAGGAAGGACCTAAGGTCGTTCAAAATTCACATGATGACAGGGGCCTTTGCTCTAGAACTAAAGCCAGAAACCAAACACCATTTGATAAGAGTTTTCATTCACCATTAAATTTTCGCTGCTCATGTATTTAAGTTCCTCTGTATCCGTTACCCCTACTGCACTCCTAAGAGCTCACTTCACTCCTTCCGGAGTTTCCTGTCCGCGTTCATATCCTAGCCCCTGCTGCTTCAAACTGCATGTGTAACTAACTTATTTTTAAAGTAAAATCTAAACGCTAATTTTCTGACCACGATAGCATTTAAAGGTAAAGCCTAAAAAATATAAGGTACTCACTTAATGTTGCTAGTAGGCCCACAGGTACCACTGCACACCTTCTCATACGCTTTCGCTGGCCTTTTAAGCAAAGACAAGACTTGGCAAATTAAATTTAAATATGCTACAAGTTGTTCAGGTATGCACAACGTGATAGAGCTTTGTCTTTTTGTTGTGAATTTTTGTTTGCCTGTTTTGTTATGTATTGTAACTTGTTTTGTTTGCCTGTTTTGTTATGTTTTGTACCTTTTTGCTATTGGGATAACTTCCTCCGCTACGCTGTTTCTATTCTGCTTCAGAAGACACACGGGAAGCTTGCAATTCTACATTTAACAGATAAGAATGGAACAGTCCTTTCCCTCGATATCCGGAAATGCGAGTTAGAATCTGGTCTATTTGAATGACTGACTGCAAAGCGGTAAACGGTGCAACCTATGGATTATTGACTGCTCTCAAAGTATTGAGTTTTCAAAGACCTTTAACTTTGTTTTCCTCGCCAGATCAAAAACTTGGGAAAAACTTGGTTGTCATGAATGTTTTTATATTGCTGAAAACTTAATGGATCAGAGTCAAATTTAAATAAATCTATATTTCCTTGCAGAGGAACCCGAAGATCCATGCGCAGCAATTGGTTGTAAAGCCCCTTATAACATAGGCTGCAGAAATGTCAACAACACAGCAGAGTGCATTTGCCCCACATGTCCTTACATCGACAGCCCTGTTTGTACTTCAGACGAAGTCCAAGATATGTCTGCCTGCTTCATGAGAAGGCAGTCATGTTTAAGTGGTGATCTTGTGACTGTTGCGAAGAATGGACCATGCGGTGTGTGAAAATATCAAATTTGCATGGTTTCATGAACTTTTATATCATGAATATCTGACTGATAATAAAGTTTTAGTACCTTCACTAACACATCCCCCGCCCAAAGTGGGGTATATAATTCATAGCTGAATGCCATGTAGATGACAAAATAGCCGTATGATATCGTAAAATGCAGACGACTTTGGGTTTAGCTTCCTTAACGCGCTCTCCTAACTTGAGGCACTTTCCATACTTGAAGCGTTTTACTTACATCAGGTGCTTTACCTACTTAAAGTACTTTCCCCACATGAGGTGCTCTACTTACTTGAGGTATGTTACTTACTTGAAGCACTTTTCTTACTTGAGGGCGCTTTATTTACTTGAGACGCTTTACTTAATTGAGGTGCTTTACTTACTTGTGGTGCTTTGCTTACTTGAGGCACTTTCCTTACATGTAGCACTTCACTTACATCAGGCGTTTTACTTGCTTAAAGCACTTTCCTCAATTGAGGTGCTCTACTGACTTAAGCTACTTTGCTTACTTAAGCTGCTTTACCTACATGAGGTGCTTTTCATACTTGAGGTGCTTTCCTTACTTGCGGTGCTTCACCTACTTGAGGTGCTTTACTTACATGAGGTGCTTTACTTACATGAGGTGCTTTACCTACTTGGTGCTCTCCTTTCTTTCGGTGCTTAACTGACTTGCTGCCTTATATACTTAAGATGCTAAAAAGGGAAGTCCAACCTTGTCGTCTTGTACCGCGTATATTGTTAAAGCTTTCCTCGATATAACTTGCTGAAGAAGGGTCCAAAAAAAAAGAGGCTCCATCTATCAAATGATTTTCTTTACATAAAGGAAAACTCAAAATTCTCACTTGAAATTAAGAGAAGTCTATTCAATAAAAATTCCAATTTTTTATTGCGGGGATTAAAAAATAGACCGCCAACAAAAGAAAATGTCTCTTTGTTTCAATAGAGAAGGAATGCACGCCCATCGCAGATATTGGTTTTGTTATCGACTCATCTGGAAGCATTGGACGGAGCAACTGGGCAAGAATGAAGAGATTCCTCAAATCGTTGGTCAGTAAACTTGACGTCAACCCTTCCTATACGCACGTATCAGCTGTTGCCTATAGCAACAATCCCGAGGTGGTGTATCGGTTTAACTTCCCCCAAGCAACAGATGACGTCAACAATGCGTTTGACGGTATGCGTTGGCAGCGCGGCTTTACTTACACAGACAAAGCTCTTTTACTGGCAGACAATGATTTGTACAAGCCTTCGAACGGCATGAGACCGAACGTTGCAAAGGTAAGGACGTTTCTCCAACCGAGGCTATTACTTGGTAGTATTCCTTGGCTATATGTTTCTTTTTTTTTTTTGTATTGATGACTTGTTTAGTATTCCTTATGTTGATATATGGGCATAGGATAGTGATAGACTATTGTTTACAGCACCTCTACATATTTCCTTTTATTGAGATCTCCTTGACTAATGTCCGTCAGGTTTTGATAGTCATCACCGATGGAGCACAAACAACAACAAAAGCATACACTCCGCTAGCAACAGCGTCTGCAGGTGTAAAGAGCAAAGGAGTTGCAGTCTATGCTATTGGAGTTGGCAAGGGAGCAAACGAGGCAGAGCTGAGAGAAATTGCATCCAGCCAAGAAAATGTCTTTGTATCAGCCTCTTTCAAGGAACTCCATAGCCTTGCGGTAGAAATACGGAAGAGACTCTGCGACTGTAAGTCTTCATGGTATTCTTTAACCTGCTTTTTCGGACTCTCATGAGTAAAAGCTGCTTTAACACCATCGCAAATCCTGATCAAAACACAATTGTAGCTCACTGACTTGTCGTTCCAGCCCCTTATGAAGAATGTTTCAACTTGAGTAACTCGTTTTCTTCTCTTTCAGTACCACCTCCATTAACAACACCGACGCCACTGCCAACACCTGCACGTAAGTAAACTCAAACCACACATATGTCATTTAACAATGATACACAATAGGTTTTTTCCTGTCTAGCTATTTTGTCATGCTATTCTTTCTTTTTTTTTAATTGAACTCCGTCAGCGTGCAAGGCCACGGCGGATGTAGCATTTATCGTGGATTCATCGGGAAGTATCGGTCGTCGAAGATGGCCGCTGATGTTGGGTTTCTTGAAGAATATCATTAGTGCCTTCAATGTTGGTCCAGATGGTACCCATGTAGCAGTAATCGCCTACAGTAACGATGCCAAGCTTGAAATAGCTTTCGACTCCGTGTCCAGGGCGCAGATTACTGCCAAAGAATATGGAAAGCGGATAGATAAGATCGCATTTCAGAGAGGCTTTACATACATCGACAAAGGCTTGAAAATGGCAGATGAACAAGTGTTTGTGACAAGCGCAGGAATGAGGCCCAATGTACCTCAGGTATTTCAAATTTGTTTATTGCACAAAAGACATACAACAAAATTGTTAACTACTCTAAAGCTCTCCATGTCTTTCATTGGATTTTACTGCAACGTGCAATCTTTTTGGTATCGCCTTTACTTATATTATTCCTAAAAAAAAAACCAGTTAATCCTGTGAATCCTGTACCTTTGACTCTTTAAAGGCATAATTTTATTTTCGCTGTAGATTCAATTCTCCGCCGACTTGCGTTTTCGTGTAAACTTTTGTTCTCCATTAGGTTGCCATAGTCATAACTGATGGACAGCAGACCACTACTAAGGCATATACACCTTTAGATCAAGCTTCCAAAGGAATCAAAGACAAGGGAGTGGAAGTGTTCGCCTTAGGCATCGGATCAGGCGTTGACACTAGCCAGCTGCGTCAGATTGCAAGCTCCAACGACAACGTGTTTACTTCTCCTGGATTTAACGAGCTGGAGTCAGTTGTCAAGCAAATTGTGGAAAAGACCTGTCCAAGTAAGTGTTCTAGTACATCAAAAAGCGATCTGGATAGGGATAGGTGCTGGAAAAGCGTATACGAAGGAGATCAACTGTGCTTCCTCGCGCAATACTGGCAGTGATAGAAGTTATAGACCAGTTTCATTGTCAGTTATCTTTCAATAAGACCTGTACTCTGGACCTTAAGGCGTTACCTTCTGTGGGCTTCAACAGTCTCATACTCCATCCCTTTCTATGAGGATAACCGTCGGTTTAAAAACCAAACCGTTTTCTATTTTGGATTCTTCTTCTTACTTGTGCAAATTTCAGTCTGATTTTTGTTTGCTTTCTATACCTTCAAACAACGTGTTTTGTGCTGTTGTACTTTCTCAGCTAAACCTCCTGATCCATGCAAGACCATCAACTGTTCTGCTCCATACAGTCTTGGCTGTAGGGTTGTAAACGATACAGCGGAGTGTATCTGTCCCGACTGTCCTGACACAGTAAGCCCTGTTTGTACATCAGATGACGTCCAGGACCGCTCGGAGTGCCTGATGAAAAGACAATCTTGCATAACTGGAGACCTAGTGACTGTTGCTAAGAGCGGACCTTGCGGTAAGTGGAATAGATACGTAACATGAACCTCGGCACAGACATTCAAACGCTAAAGCAAGTTGTCTTCTCCACTTTAAAGTGATTGTCGTGAAACCTTGGTTATCTCTTTGTCTCCTGAACCGAATTTGGGTGTTTTTCAACTGGTAAATACACCTGCAAAGAGCCAGAGGTTCTTTAGCTTCAAAGCACCTCTACCTTGTAATCAGCGTCGTTTTTGAATGTTTACAGAAAAGGAATGCAGACCAATCGCAGATATTGGATTTGTCATTGACTCATCTGGGAGCATTGGGCGGAGCAACTGGGGAAGGATGAAGCGATTCCTCAAAGCGTTGGTCAGCAAACTTGACGTCAGTCCCTCCTCAACGCACATATCAGCTGTTGCATATAGCAATAATCCCGAGGTGGTGTATCGGTTTAACAACCGCCAAGCGACAGATGACGTCAACAATGTGTTTGACGGTATGCGATGGCAACGCGGCTTTACTTACACAGACAAAGCTCTTTTGCTGGCAGACAATGACTTGTACAAGCCTTCGAACGGCATGAGACCGAACGTTGCAAAGGTAAGGACATTTCTCCAACCGAGGCTGGTAGTGTTCCTTGACTATATGTTTTTTTTTCTTTTTTGCATTGATGACTTGTTTAGCATTCCATATGTTGATATATGGGCATGGGATAGTGATAGACTATTGTTTACAGCACCTCTACATATTTCCTTTTATTGAGATTTCCTTGACTAATGTCTGTCAGGTTTTGATAGTCATCACCGATGGAGCACAAACAACAACAAAAGCATACACTCCGCTAGCAATAGCGTCTGCAGGTGTAAAGAGCAAAGGAATAGCAGTCTATGCTATTGGTGTTGGCACAGGAGCAAACGAGGCAGAGCTGAGAGAAATTGCATCCAGCCAAGAAAATGTCTTTGTATCAGCCTCTTTCAAGGAACTCCATAGCCTTGCGGTAGAAATACGGAAGAGACTCTGCGACTGTAAGTCTTCATGGTATTCTTTAACCTGCTTTTTCGGACTCTCATGAGTAAAAGCTGCTTTAACACCATCGCAAATCCTGATCAGAACACAATTGTAGCTCACTGACTTGTCGTTCCAGCCCCCTTATGAAGAATGTTTCAGCTTGAGTAACTCGTTTTCTTCTCTTTCAGTACCACCTCCATTAACAACACCGACGCCACTGCCAACACCTGCACGTAAGTAAACTCAAACTGCACATATGTCATTTAACAGTGATACACAATAGGTTTTTTCCTGTCTAGCTATTTTGTCATACTATTCTTCCTTTTTTTTTAATTGAACTCCGTCAGCGTGCAAAGCCACGGCGGATGTAGCATTTATCGTGGACTCATCGGGAAGTATTGGTCGTCGAAGATGGCCGCTGATGTTGGGTTTCTTGAAGAATATCATTAGTGCCTTCAATGTTGGTCCAGATGGTACCCATGTAGCAGTAATCGCCTACAGTAACGATGCCAAGCTTGAAATAGCCTTCGACTCCGTGTCCGGGGCGCAGATTACTGCCAAAGAATATGGAAAGCGGATAGATAAGATCGCATTTCAGAGAGGCTTTACATACATCGACAAAGGCTTGAAAATGGCAGATGAACAAGTGTTCGTAACAACTGCAGGAATGAGGCCCAATGTACCACAGGTATTTAAGCACTGTTTCTTCCGCGAAAGACATACAACAAAATTGTCAACTACTTTAGGCTCCTCTAAAACTCAGATTCGATTGTATTTCACTGCCTTATCTCTTTGGTAACGCCTTTACTTAGGTTAATTCTAAAGGGAAAAAAAAAGAGTTAATCCTGTGAATCCTGTACCTTTGACTCTCTAAAGGCATAATTTTATTTTGGCTGTAGATTCAATTCTCCGCCGACTTGCGTTTTTGTGTAAACTTTTGTTCTCCATTAGGTTGCCATAGTCATAACTGATGGACAGCAGACCACTACTAAGGCATATACACCTTTGGATCAAGCGTCCAAAGGAATCAAAGACAAGGGAGTGGAAGTGTTCGCCTTAGGCATCGGATCAGGCGTTGACACTAGCCAGCTGCGTCAGATTGCAAGCTCCAACGACAACGTGTTTACTTCTCCTGGATTTAACGAGCTGGAGTCAGTTGTCAAGCAAATTGTGGAAAAGACATGTCCAAGTAAGTGTTCTAGTACATCCAAAAGCGGTCTGGATAGGAATAGGTGCTGGAAAAGCGTATACGAAGGATATCAACTGTGCTTCCTCGCTCAATACTGGCAGTGATAGAAATTATAGACCCGTTTCATAGTCAGTTTTCTTTGAATAAGACCTATACTCTGGACCTTAAGACATGACCTTCTGTGGGCTTCAAGAGTCTCATACTCGATCCCTTTACATGAGGATAACCGTCGGTTCAAAAACCAAACCATTTTCTATTTTGGATTCTTCTTCTTACTTGTGCAAATTTCAGTCTGATTTTTGTTTGCTTTCTATACCTTCAAACAACGTGTTTTGTGCTGTTGTACTTTTTCAGCTAAACCTTCTGATCCATGCAAGACCATCAACTGTTCTGCTCCATACAGTCTTGGCTGTAGGGTTGTAAACGATACAGCGGAGTGTATCTGTCCCGACTGTCCTGACACAGTAAGCCCTGTTTGTACATCAGATGACGTCCAGGACCGCTCGGAGTGCCTGATGAAAAGACAATCTTGCATAACTGGAGACCTAGTGACTGTTGCTAAGAGCGGACCTTGCGGTAAGTGGAATTGATACGTAACAAAAACCTCGGCACAGACATTCAAACGCTAAAGCAAGTTGTCTTCTCCACTTTAAAGAGCTTGTCGTGAAACCTTGGTTATCTGTTTGTCTCCTGAACCGAATTTGGGTGTTTTTCAACTGGTAAATACACCTGCAAAGAGCCAGAGGTTCTTTAGCTTCAAAGCACCTCTACCTTGTAATCAGCGTCGTTTTTGAATGTTTACAGAAAAGGAATGCAGACCAATCGCAGATATTGGATTTGTCATTGACTCCTCTGGAAGCATTGGGCGGAGCAACTGGGGAAGGATGAAGCGATTCCTCAAAGCGTTGGTCAGCAAACTTGACGTCAGTCCCTCCTCAACACACATATCAGCTGTTGCATATAGCAATAATCCCGAGGTGGTGTATCGGTTTAACAACCGCCAAGCGACAGATGACGTCAACAATGTGTTTGACAGTATGCGATGGCAGCGCGGCTTTACTTACACGGACAAAGCTCTTTTGCTGGCAGACAGTGATTTGTACAATTTTGCGAACGGCATGAGACCAAACATTGCAAAGGTAAGGACGTTTCTCCAACCGAGGCTCTTACTTGGTAGTGTTCCTTGACTGTTTGTTTTTTTTCTTTTGTGCATTGATGACTTGTTTATTCCATATGTTGATATATGGGCATAGGATAGTGATAGACTATTGTTTACAGCACCTCTATATATTTCCTTTTATTGAGATCTCCTTGACTAATGTCCGTCAGGTTTTGATAGTCATCACCGATGGAGCACAAACAACAACAAAAGCATACACTCCGCTAGCAATAGCGTCTGCAGGTGTAAAGAGCAAAGGAATAGCAGTCTATGCTATTGGAGTTGGCAAGGGAGCAAACGAGGCAGAGCTGAGAGAAATTGCATCTAGCCAAGAAAATGTCTTTGTATCAGCCTCTTTCAAGGAACTCCATAGCCTTGCGGTAGAAATACGGAAGAGACTCTGCGACTGTAAGTGTTCATGGCATTCTCTAACCTGCTTATTCGGACTCTCATGAGTAAAAGCTACTTTAACACCATCGTAAATCCTGATCGAAACACAATTGTAGCTCACTGAGTTGTCGTTTTAGCCCCGTTCTGAGGAATGTTCCAAGTTGACCAACTCGTTTTCTTCTTTTTCAGTACCACCTCCATTAACAACACCGACGCCACTGCCAACACCTGCACGTAAGTAAACTCAAACCGCACATATGTCATTTAACAGTGATACACAATAGGTTTTTTCCTGTCTAGCTATTTTGTCATGCTATTCTTCCTTTTTTTTTTAATTGAACTCTGTTAGCGTGCAAGGCCACGGCAGATGTAGCATTTATCGTGGACTCATCGGGAAGTATTGGTCGTCGAAGATGGCCGCTGATGTTGAATTTCTTGAAGAACATCATCAGTGCCTTTAATGTTGGTCCAGATGGTACCCATGTAGCAGTAATCGCCTACAGTAACAATGCCAAGCTTGAAATAGCCTTCGACTCCGTGTCCGGGGCGCAGATTACTGCCAAAGAATATGGAAAGCGGATAGATAAGATCGCATTTCAGAGAGGCTTTACATACATCGACAAAGGCTTGAAAATGGCAGATGAACAAGTGTTCGTAACAAGCGCAGGAATGAGGCCCAATGTACCACAGGTATTTAAGCGCTGTTTCTTCCGCGAAAGACATACAACAAAATTGTCAACTACTTTAGGCTCCTCTATAACTCAGATTCGATTGTATTGGACTGCCTTATCTCTTTGGTAACGCCTTTACTTACGTTAATTCTAAAGGAAAAAAAAAAGAGTTAATCCTGTGAATCCTGTACCTTTGACTCTCTAAAGGCATAATATTATTTTGGCTGTAGATTCAATTCTCCGCCGACTTGTATTTTTGTGTAAACTTTTACTCTCGATTAGGTTGCCATAGTCATAACTGATGGACAGCAGACCACTACCAAGGCATATACACCTTTAGATCAAGCTTCCAAAGGAATCAAAGACAAGGGAGTGGAAGTGTTCGCCTTAGGCATCGGATCAGGCGTTGACACTAGCCAGCTTCGTCAGATTGCAAGCTCCAACGACAACGTGTTTACTTCTCCTGGATTTAACGAGCTGGAGTCAGTTGTCAAGCAAATTGTGGAAAAGACATGTCCAAGTAAGTGTTCTAGTACATCCAAAAGCGGTCTGGACAGGAATAGGTGCTGGAAAAGCGTATAGGAAGAAGATCAATTAAGCTTCCGCGCGCCTTAGTGACAGCGATACAGATTATAAACCACTTTCATAATCAATTTTCTTTGAATAAGACTTGTACCTTGGGCCTTTATGCGTTACTTTCAGTGGGCAGAAGGTCACCAGGACTCCGAATACCATCGTAAACGTCGGTCTAAAAACCAAATCGTTTCCTATTTTGGATTCTTCCTCTTATTTGTGAACATAAAGGTCTGATTCGTGTTTGCTTTCTATACCTCAAACAACGTGTTTTGTGCTTTTGTACTTTTTCAGCTAAACCTCCTGATCCATGCAAGACGATCAACTGTTCTGCTCCATACAGTCTTGGCTGTAGGGTTGTAAACGATACAGCGGAGTGCATCTGTCCCGACTGTCCTGACACAGTAAGCCCTGTTTGTACATCAGATGACGTCCAGGACCGCTCGGAGTGCCTGATGAAAAGACAATCTTGCATAACTGGAGACCTAGTGACTGTTGCTAAGAGCGGACCTTGCGGTAAGTGGAATTGATACGTAACAAGCACCTCGGCACAGACATTCAAACGTTAAAACAAGTTGCCTTCTCCACTTTTAAGAGCTTGTCGTGAAACCTTGGTTATCTCTTTGTCTCCTGAACCGAATTTGGGTGTTTTTCAACTGGTAAATACACCTGCAAAGAGCCAGAGGTTCTTTAGCTTCAAAGCACCTCTACCTTGTAATCAGCGTCGTTTTTGAATGTTTACAGAAAAGGAATGCAGACCAATCGCAGATATTGGATTTGTCATTGACTCATCTGGAAGCATTGGGCGGAGCAACTGGGGAAGGATGAAGCGATTCCTCAAAGCGTTGGTCAGCAAACTTGACGTCAGTCCCTCCTCAACACACATATCAACTGTTGCATATAGCAATAATCCTGAGGTGGTGTATCGGTTTAACAACCGCCAAGCGACAGATGACGTCAACAATGTGTTTGACGGTATGCGATGGCAACGCGGCTTTACTTACACGGACAAAGCTCTTTTGCTGGCAGACAATGACTTGTACAAGCCTTCGAACGGCATGAGACCGAACGTTGCAAAGGTAAGGACGTTTCTCCAACCGAGGCTGTTACTTGGTAGTATTCCTTGGCTATATGTTTTTTTTTCTTTTTTGCATTGATGACTTGTTTAGCATTCCATATGTTGATATATGGGCATGGGATAGTGATAGACTATTGTTTACAGCACCTCTATATATTTCCTTTTATTGAGATCTCCTTGACTAATGTCCGTCAGGTTTTGATAGTCATCACCGATGGAGCACAAACAACAACAAAAGCATACACTCCGCTAGCAATAGCGTCTGCAGGTGTAAAGAGCAAAGGAATAGCAGTCTATGCTATTGGAGTTGGCAAGGGAGCAAACGAGGCAGAGCTGAGAGAAATTGCATCCAGCCAAGAAAATGTCTTTGTATCGGCCTCTTTCAAGGAACTCCATAGCCTTGCGGTAGAAATACGGAAGAGACTCTGCGACTGTAAGTGTTCATGGCATTCTCTAACCTGCTTATTCGGACTCTCATGAGTAAAAGCTGCTTTAACACCATCGTAAATCCTGATCGAAACACAATTGTAGCTCACTGACTTGTCGTTCCAGCCTCGTTGTGAGGAATGTTCCAACTTCACCAACTCGTTTTCTTCTCTTTCAGTACCACCTCCATTAACAACACCGACGCCACTGCCAACACCTGCACGTAAGTAAACTCAAACCGCACATATGTCATTTAACAGTGATACACAATAGGTTTTTTCCTGTCTAGCTATTTTGTCATGCTATTCTTCCTTTTTCTTTTAATTTAACTCTGTCAGCGTGCAAGGCCACGGCGGATGTAGCATTTATCGTCGATTCATCGGGAAGTATTGGTCGTCGAAGATGGCCGCTGATGTTGAATTTCTTGAAGAACATCATCAGTGCCTTTAATGTTGGTCCAGATGGTACCCATGTAGCAGTAATCGCCTACAGTAACAATGCCAAGCTTGAAATAGCCTTCGACTCCGTGTCCAGGGCGCAGATTACTGCCAAAGAATATGGAAAGCGGATAGATAAGATCGCATTTCAGAGAGGCTTTACATACATCGACAAAGGCTTGAAAATGGCAGATGAACAAGTGTTCGTAACAAACGCAGGAATGAGGCCCAATGTACCACAGGTATTTAAGCGCTGTTTCTTCCGCGAAAGACATACAACAAAATTGTCAACTACTTTAGGCTCCTCTATAACTCAGATTCGATTGTATTGCACTACCTTATCTCTTTGGTAACGTCTTTACTTAAATTAATTGTAAAGGAAAAAAAAGAGTTAATCCTGTGAATCCTGTACCTTTGACTCTCTAAAGGCATAATTTTATTTTGGCTGTAGATTTAATTCTCCGCCGACTTGCGTTTTTGTGTAAACTTTTACTCTCGATTAGGTTGCCATAGTCATAACTGATGGACAGCAGACCACTACTAAGGCGTATACACCTTTGGATCAAGCGTCCAAAGGAATCAAAGACAAGGGAGTGGAAGTGTTCGCCTTAGGCATCGGATCAGGCGTTGACACTAGCCAGCTTCGTCAGATTGCAAGCTCCAACGACAACGTGTTTACTTCTCCTGGATTTAACGAGCTGGAGTCAGTTGTCAAGCAAATTGTGGAAAAGACATGTCCAAGTGAGTGTTCTAGTACATCCAAAAGCGGTCTGGACAGGAATAGGTGCTGGAAAAGCGTATAGGAAGAAGATCAATTAAGCTTCCGCGCGCCTTAGTGACAGCGATACAGATTATAAACCACTTTCATAATCAATTTTCTTTGAATAAGACTTGTACCTTGGGCCTTTATGCGTTACTTTCAGTGGGCAGAAGGTCACCAGGACTCCGAATACCATCGTAAACGTCGGTCTAAAAACCAAATCGTTTCCTATTTTGGATTCTTCCTCTTATTTGTGAACATAAAGGTCTGATTCGTGTTTGCTTTCTATACCTCAAACAACGTGTTTTGTGCTTTTGTACTTTTTCAGCTAAACCTCCTGATCCATGCAAGACGATCAACTGTTCTGCTCCATACAGTCTTGGCTGTAGGGTTGTAAACGATACAGCGGAGTGCATCTGTCCCGACTGTCCTGACACAGTAAGCCCTGTTTGTACATCAGATGACGTCCAGGACCGCTCGGAGTGCCTGATGAAAAGACAATCTTGCATAACTGGAGACCTAGTGACTGTTGCTAAGAGCGGACCTTGCGGTAAGTGGAATTGATACGTAACAAGCACCTCGGCACAGACATTCAAACGTTAAAACAAGTTGCCTTCTCCACTTTTAAGAGCTTGTCGTGAAACCTTGGTTATCTCTTTGTCTCCTGAACCGAATTTGGGTGTTTTTCAACTGGTAAATACACCTGCAAAAGGTCAGAGGTTCTTTAGCTTCAAATCATCTCTACCTTGTAATCAGCGTTGTTTTTTAATGTTTACAGAAAAGGAATGCAGACCAATCGCAGATATTGGATTTGTCATTGACTCCTCTGGAAGCATTGGGCGGAGCAACTGGGGAAGGATGAAGCGATTCCTCAAAGCGTTGGTCAGCAAACTTGACGTCAGTCCCTCCTCAACACACATATCAGCTGTTGCATATAGCAATAATCCTGAGGTGGTGTATCGGTTTAACAACCGCCAAGCGACAGATGACGTCAACAATGTGTTTGACGGTATGCGATGGCAACGCGGCTTTACTTACACGGACAAAGCTCTTTTGCTGGCAGACAATGACTTGTACAAGCCTTCGAACGGCATGAGACCGAACGTTGCAAAGGTAAGGACGTTTCTCCAACCGAGGCTGTTACTTGGTAGTATTCCTTGGCTATATGTTTTTTTTTCTTTTTTGCATTGATGACTTGTTTATTCCATATGTTGATATATGGGCATAGGATAGTGATAGACTATTGTTTACAGCACCTCTATATATTTCCTTTTATTGAGATCTCCTTGACTAATGTCCGTCAGGTTTTGATAGTCATCACCGATGGAGCACAAACAACAACAAAAGCATACACTCCGCTAGCAATAGCGTCTGCAGGTGTAAAGAGCAAAGGAATAGCAGTCTATGCTATTGGAGTTGGCAAGGGAGCAAACGAGGCAGAGCTGAGAGAAATTGCATCCAGCCAAGAAAATGTCTTTGTATCGGCCTCTTTCAAGGAACTCCATAGCCTTGCGGTAGAAATACGGAAGAGACTCTGCGACTGTAAGTGTTCATGGCATTCTCTAACCTGCTTATTCGGACTCTCATGAGTAAAAGCTGCTTTAACACCATCGTAAATCCTGATCGAAACACAATTGTAGCTCACTGAGTTGTCGTTTTAGCCCCGTTCTGAGGAATGTTCCAAGTTGACCAACTCGTTTTCTTCTTTTTCAGTACCACCTCCATTAACAACACCGACGCCACTGCCAACACCTGCACGTAAGTAAACTCAAACCGCACATATGTCATTTAACAGTGATACACAATAGGTTTCTTTCCTGTCTAGCTATTTTGTCATGCTATTCTTCCTTTTTTTTTTAATTAAACTCTGTCAGCGTGCAAGGCCACGGCGGATGTAGCATTTATCGTGGACTCATCGGGAAGTATTGGTCGTCGAAGATGGCCGCTGATGTTGAATTTCTTGAAGAACATCATCAGTGCCTTTAATGTTGGTCCAGATGGTACCCATGTAGCAGTAATCGCCTACAGTAACAATGCCAAGCTTGAAATAGCCTTCGACTCCGTGTCCGGGGCGCAGATTACTGCCAAAGAATATGGAAAGCGGATAGATAAGATCGCATTTCAGAGAGGCTTTACATACATCGACAAAGGCTTGAAAATGGCAGATGAACAAGTGTTCGTAACAAGCGCAGGAATGAGGCCCAATGTACCACAGGTATTTAAGCGCTGTTTCTTCCGCGAAAGACATACAACAAAATTGTCAACTACTTTAGGCTCCTCTATAACTCAGATTCGATTGTATTGCACTGCCTTATCTCTTTGGTAACGCCTTTACTTACGTTAATTCTAAAGGAAAAAAAAAGAGTTAATCCTGTGAATCCTGTACTTTTGACTCTCTAAAGGCATAATTTTATTTTGGCTGTAGATTCAATTCTCCGCCGACTTGTATTTTTATGTAAACTTTTACTCTCGATTAGGTTGCCATAGTCATAACTGATGGACAGCAGACCACTACTAAGGCATATACACCTTTAGATCAAGCTT